AACAACAACAAAAAAAAAAAAAACTTCAGATTTTTGATATTTTTAAAAACCTCTGTAGAGTTTTTTTTTTTGTGTGTTTCTCTATAGGATATTTTGGATATTTACAGAAGATACATACATTTGACTTTCAACAGACTGAATAGTTGAGTCAAAGAGGAAATACAGAACCACAATTCCTTATCTGGAAACCTGGAAGTCAGATGTGCTTAAATTCAGACTCTGTGATTCTAGAAAGGAAATGTGGTGCATTTAACACACATTGTGTAACACTCAGAAATCAAACTTGTTAGTATTACTACAGGAAAATATTCAGACTAAGTGAGATAAATACATACTCCAGAATCTCACCTTAGTTCAGGTTGTTTTATCACCAGGGTATCCACCACCCTCTACCCATCCCACTCTCCTTGAGGGTATACCAAAAGCCTACAAAAATTTTTCTTTTCAAAACTTTTCACATTTGAGAATTGCCCAGAAAGGATTGTAGGCATGTCAAAATGGCTCAAATGCTAGAAAAAAAAATAATCAATCTGCTACTAATCAAAATGCAAAAATAAAAATAATCATGGTATCAATTTCTGCCCAAAAGATTGGCAAATATGTTTCTCAGGGGGGAAATGCCAAGAGTGTGAAATGTGATACTTTTAAACCATGGCTGTGACAACAAACTGGGACAACTTTCAGATAAACACTGGAATCATCAACGGCCTCAAAAATGTGAATATCACTGACCTCTAAATTGCCTTTTTAGGAACCATTTTCTGTGAAAGTCAATAGTCATCCAAGATCATGCACAAAAGTATACATGGAAACAATGAGTTTTTTTTCTTTTATTTGTAGATATCTTCTTTTGTTTATTTTTATGTGGCGCTGAGGATCAAACCGAGTGCCTCACCCATGCAAGGCAAGCGCTCTAATACTGAGCCACAAACCCAGCCCCAGAAACAATGAGGTTTAAAACAATTAGTTAATAACTGCAACCTCCTAAAAGAGGCACAGTGAGGAAAAATACAGCAAATCCACACAATGGAACATCATCAGCCATTTTTTTTAGTTTATAGGAAAACGTAGAAACCTTTATATAGAATATAAGGTGAAAGGGCAGGATACAAGAGACTTGCATTGCCTTATGATCCTACTGAAGTATAGGATACATTTCGAGAGGACCAGAATAATATACTAACAGTGAAAGATGCTCAGAGTAATGGGATTAAGGTGTTTCTCTTCCCCTTACCACACAAACTTTCAAAATTTGAGGGGATTTTCCAAAAATACCTGCAGCATTATATTTTAGCTGAGGGAGAATGGTGAAAACTTCACCACTTAATTATTTGTCAATAGCAGCCATCCCATGTATCTGAGATGTCACTTTGGGCTTTTAGAAAATTACAACTTATCATTGCAACATCATCACCACCTCTAGGATGCAAGCCATATAAAACATTTGGTCTACATTTCTTAGTCTTAATTGACATATATTATAATTAAATCAAGTCTAAGGGAGCACTTCTGTGCTGTAAAATCAATAAATACACAGATAAAAGACTTCCCACTGTGCCATCTGCCAAGAACTTTCAGAGGTAACAGCTTATTTGAACCTCACTAACATGGAAACAAGAACAGGCACAATGCCCCCATTTCACAGGTGAAGAAATGGAGGTAGAGAGAACAATACTCTGCCAATGGCAGAGTTGAGTCTCTCTCTAGCTTTTGACATCAAATCCAGGGCTATAACTTAAAGCAAAGTGCTAGTTCTACTACATCTTGCTACTACCCTGTTAATTAAATGATCTAAGTACTTAGACCATTGCCTGCCACATAACACGTAATAAACATCAAATCCCCTCTTCCAAAAAGAATAAAATAAAATACCCATGATGTATACAAAAATTCCAATTTTAGTCCTTGTAAGCTGCACTACATTCTATTATACTGGCTTTCAGCAGATCATTCTATTGGTAATTTTTTTTTAATTTTTTAAATTAGACTTTAACGTCAGAGCCAAATAATTCTTGAAAAAGTAATGATAAAATTTTTGTATCACCTGGAACTATGGTCTCTCTGGTTCAAATCCAACTATTCAAATTCCTAAATAGTTTACTCGATTCATCTCTTTCTGGAGGAGAGGGATATGCAAAGGATAGGGAGGAAATGACAGGTACTTTTCAAGTTTTCATTTCCTCTTTAAATTAAATTTGATCATGGAATTCCAAAGAATGCTTTTTCAAACATTCCATTCACTGGCCATGTATATGTGAATGTACGTTTGGTCAGCTACCTGCCCAAAGGAGAACCCAGAATTTAATAAAGCTTATCTTTAGCATCTCAATGAAAAGTCAGGAGACTGGATGGAAGCCCACAGAACCTGGGATTCTACACTTCTCATCTCACTAGTCTCTGCACCTTTTCCACCCACTCCTTACTCAGGGGCCATGCCCACTGCCTGGTAGAGAAACTGAGAAACCAATAAGCCCTAAGGCTGAGTAACCAGAGAACTTGACATAAATAAGCCAAGATGTGGAAAATCACCCCTTCTGATGTTTGTGGTATATAGTCTCAAATGTTGCTTCTAAGAGACAGACGTTCAGTGAGACTCTTCTGCTGCAAAGGAAGTGAAAGAGATACTGCCACTACCCACTGTAAAGCTATCTGTCCTCTCTACTTCACAACTTCTGATAACAACATGCTTATAATATTATCATCTTAAATTCTCTATTTTAGAATCTCAGCAAGATTGCTAAAGTTGATACAGTGGGATACAGTAGAACGGAAATGAACTTTAGAATTAAGCAGATTGGATTATCCCGGGGGAAAAAAAAACCATATATTCATACATATACAAGTGCATGTACACACAGATACACACATAGCCCCTAGTGGTTGTGCTTTTCTGATTGAATGCCGAATGACAGAATACCTGTGTGACGTTGTCCCACTGAAAATAAATACTTCATAGGGTTATGAGATATGTTTTAATATATACAAAGTGCCCAACCCCAAACCTGGGACACACCAAGCTCTCAACATGACTTCCCATCCCCTGGCTTTCTTCCTACTTCCCTAACAAATATTAGCAAGCCTTTGGTTCCAAGGAGATTAGATGTTGGCTGTTCAAGACATCTTTTTTTTTTTTTTGGGGGGGGGGGGGATCAGAGATTGAACTCAGGGGCACTCAACCACTGAGCCACACCCCAGCACTATTTTTGCATTTTATTTAGAGACTGGTTCTCACTGAGTTGCTTAGCACCTCGCTTTTGTTGAGGCTGGCTTTGAACTCATGATCCTTCTGCCTCAGTCTCCCAAACCGCTGGGATTATAGGCATATGCTACCACACCTGGCTAAGACATCTTCTCTTGATACAGGTCTTAAATCACACTAACAAAGTGATACTCTGTATTCCTTCCTTTTTTAGATACCTCATTCTTTTTAAGCAATAACTTTCATCAAAAAGGTTACTGTGCAATATTAGATAAGGGCTTTCTCAGTCACACTGCAGTCCTCAGACTTGGATGTTGCTCAGAGATCTATAAAAATACAAACCTGTTCTAGGAATAGATTTTTCCTGCTGACCCATAATTATGTGCATCATATGCTAAATTTTTAACAATTTTACTCACAGGTTGAGCTCTCTTCCAAATTCTGGAGCATCTGATCCTAGCCCTTGAATCACTATCTACAGTCTGGAGTTCAATTTGAACCTAGCTATGCACCTTTAGTCCCAGCAATGAAACACAGGATGAAAATAAAAAATCTCCCATCAAATAAAATATGGCACTCACTGTCATTTCCCCAGGGTGGATGGCTGAAGGAAACACAGGTATGATAACAAAGACTCAAGAGACACATTATCCCTCCTATTCCCTTCCTAATCTGTTCTGCATCCTATGAAAAAGCAAAGGCCAAAGTGATTAGCCATTTTAAAAGCTGTAAGTGATCGGAATGTTCTCAGGAGGAAGAGCAGGGTATGTATTTTTTATGGAGAAGATAATCATTGTTCGAAGGTTTCCAATTGCTAATTATTTGGACTGAAGAGGAGCCACCCTGAAGACAAGCTTGGAAGAGCTTGCTGACGTAAGTTTCCAAGCTGTGGTAACCCCAAATGGCCAAGATATAAGCTTTTTTTTTTCCAAACTACTGCTGTTGGGTGGCAATTAATAGGGGGATGATGGTAAGAAATCCCTGGTGTCTGAAGTTATAAAAACAAGAGTGTTAGAGCTTCTATAAAAGTTATACCTCCTCTTAAGAGATTTCAATTAAAAACTCCAGCACATAGTTCATCCTTGGAGACAACACTTCAGCATCTCTGCTGGTGGCTTACCGCCACTAAAGGCTCCTTTGGTGATGACAGGAATTGACACAGAAAAGAAAAAAAAAAAAAAAAAAGTAAGTTTACAAATATGCCTTCCCTTCCGCGCTAATTTATCCAGAATGTATGGGAAGAAATCTGGAACCCCTGACCAGTTACAAGAATCCATCAAACACTAAAATAAAAACTTAGAAAGACATTGTGACTCTTCAAGATTTTAAGATTTTGTGTTTTTTTTTTAAGGTGAGGGAGACGACGACAGGCCACCCAGTCCCGCGTCATGATCTTCCGCTCGCAGGGCCTTTGAGGCACAGGGCGGCAGGAAAGGGGTCCTCGGGAGTCTGAGGCGCGAGGGCAGGGAGAAAGCGCATCCAAGGAAGGCGACACCAAGTCAGGTCCCCACACCATGGGCAGCTCGGAGTTGGGGCGACACAGGTCCACAGAAGAGGCCCCCGGGGAGGGCAGGCGGGAGCCCGCGGGCGGGAAGGGAGGGACGGCAGGCGCTGCTTCGCGCCGCGCCGCGCCCCGCCCGGGCCACCCCGGGCCAGCCAGATGTTCAACGCCAGGATCCCGCGGCCGAGCCAGAAGAGACAGCGCGGGGCGCAGCGGGGCTGCAGTCCCGAACCCACGCTTCCTTCCGCGCGCCTGGGACCCGGCTCAGCACCTGGCGCCCGGCCCCAACGGGGCACTCACCCGGGGCCACTAGCGGCGAACTCACGGCGCCTCCCACGAAGACGGCAGCGGCGAGGACGGCGGACCCCGGGAGTCCCCGCGGAGCCATAGCCGCGTCGCTTTGCCCTTCTCCCCCGGGGCGCCGCGTACGGCGTTCAGGCTGGCGGCGCGGCTCTGGAACCCGCGGGCGGACCAAGTGGCCCGGGTCTGCCCCCGCGCGCCCTGCGTCCCTCCCCGCCGTAGCCCCACCCAGGCCCCGCCCCCTCGGCTCGGCCCCGCCTCTCCCCGCGGTTCCCGGGCTCCGCCACAAGGTCCCGCTCCCACGGCCCCGCCCACTCCGGCCCGGCCCCGCCTCCCCTTGTAACTCCCGCTTCTCCCCGCATCCCAGGCTCCTCACAGCCGCGCGGATTAGCCGTGCCCCCTTCCCCGCCACTCCGGCCCCGCTCACTGCTGCCCGGTTCCGCGTCTCCCTGCCGCTCCCGCTTCCTCTGCGAACCCCGCAGCCGCGCGGGTTCGGCTTGGCCCCGCCTGTGCCCCACCCACTGCAGCCCGGCCACGCCTCATCTCGACCCCCCACCCCCCGCCGGCTTCCTTTCCAAACCCCGCCTGACCGCGGCGTCGGGATTACGCGGGAGCCCCAAGCAGGGGCAGGTTCTAAGCCTTGCGTCTTCCAGGATTATCCGACGCGGAGGGAGGGGAAAAAGGAAGTGGGGAGGCAAGCCGGGAAGCCCTGGAAGTGCAGTCTAGGCCAGCATCGGAAGGCGGGCCGTCCTTTTTCTCTACTGCTATCTCAATCCCTGTAGTGTTCCCTTCGGTTACTGGTCTAGGAAGGGATGCAGCGCTGGAGGTCAGGTTTCTTTGGAAAATTAAGGAAGAAAGGTGAATAAGTTTAATTGTTACTGTCCCTGCTTCCATTTAAGGTGCTTCTATTGAGGAAAAGAGCTGTATACATTTCCAGGAATAATTTGTGGAGGTTTGGAGGAGTGGTTAATTGTGTGCCTATATTGCACCTCCCAAATACTCCCTCTTGTAGCTCAAGTGTCCAGTCACTTATGGTCTCCTTATAACCTCACATCAGTGTGAGGATGATTATTATCCCCATTTCACATGCCAGGAGGTAAACCCATGATGTCTGGGCCACTGTGATCACTGTAATCATCCGCTTTGTGTGGGCTTACTGCTACCCCCTCAGTACCTGGCTCAAGTACCCCACACAGGAAACAAGAGGTCAGAAGTATTTTTGAAATGGAATCATCATCCAAGCATTGATAGAATTGAGGAGCCTTTCTTAAAGTAGCTCCCTCTTTACTGACCTGAAGAGACTCCTTCCAAAACAGAACCATCAAACTCGTTCTTTGCAGAGATTTGCTGGAGAACACCAATCAACAAGAAGGGGCTGGCTGGGGTCTGGGGTGTTTTCAGAACGAGCCTTTTCCCTGAACTGACTGATGGCCTCTAGTTTTCAAAGAACGATTATTTCTACTCTTGCTGAGTCCTCCCTGCTGTCTGCTAGACGATTACAAACATTTGCACTGATGTGAGAATTCCTGGCAACAGAAGCTCAGGACACTACAGATGGCTGAGGCTGAAAGATGAAGCCCCTGCCCTTTGAAGCCAAACACAGGCACTGCTCATCCTGTGCCCAGTTGGCAGCACATCCTGTAGTCTGTCAAGCTTAGCAGGCAGCCCTTTATACTTGTATATTAACATAAAACCTGAGAATGAATGCAAAGGAAAGATATCCATTTGGGTGTCCAACTAAGAAAAGAGAGAATCCCAGGCTAGAAATTAAAGTATAAATTATAAATTGAAACCAGAATAGCTACATAATTTGCAGGACCCAGTGCAAAATAAAAATGCAGGCCTCTGTTCAAACATCATTAAATTCAACAATAAAAGCATTAAACCAACCTTCAAACCCTCCTAAACATGGTGAGTTGTGCTCACACAATTACAAAGCTGGCTCTGATTTTATAATTTAGACTATAACAAATGCTTGTACAAAATTGTGTATTCAAGATGTAAAATACCATTTAAAAATTGAATAGTTCTTTTTTCCATGGGTTGAACTGACTTTTAAAAAGACAGTGTTACCCAAAACTCAGTCCTTGTCCTGGAAGCCAATCCAACAACTTGGACACAGTTTTGAGAAAAAGGGGAAAAAAAAAAAGTTTTATTGCTTTGCTACCAAAGGATAAATACAGGGGACTCCTGTCCCAGAAGCTGTGATTCTGCCCATCAAGAGGAACAGGTGACTTTTAAAGAGATGATTCAAAGGCTACATTCCAGGTGTTCCATCCAAAGCTGTAATCCACTTCTTAATTTAGGAGATAGTCATTTATTGGTGTATCTTCTGGTGCCAACCCCAGATTCTGAATTACTTCATTCCTGTGGTAGATGTGTGCTGAAGAACAGATAACTCTGCCTAGAATAAAGAAGAAAGGTAATCCTGTTTCTCCTGAGAGAAAAACTGATCGTTTTTTACAATGAATTTAAATTGCATGAATGCTATATGGCTCTGTAGAACTGAAAAATGCAATCGTATTTAAAACTGGAGGAAACTTCATTAATCATCTACTGTAAGCCCCTTATTTTCCAGATGAGAGAAGGGTACGTGATTTGCCTGACAAAATGTATGAGCCAGGGTTGGAACCCAAGGCTCTGAAAATTCCCTTCCCAGACTTTCCCAAATGCTTAGTTGTTGACACACTCTCTTTAGAGGTCATAGTAACGTGTGCATTTGCACATCTTGTTTAAGAAAGAAAGGAAGGAACAGGCGCAGTGGCACATACTGTAATCCCAGCAGCTTGGGAGGCTGAGGCAGGAGGATAACGAACTCAAAGCCAGCCTCAGCAAAAGTGAGGCACTAAGCAACTCAGTGAGACCCTGTCCCTAAATAAAATACAAAATAGGACTGGGGATGTGGCTCAGTGGTTGAGTGCCCCTGAATTCAATCCCTGGCAGAAAGAAAGAGGGTGGGGGGAGGGAAAACAGGAAGCAGAGTGAAAGGATAGGAGGAAGGAAAGAAAGAAAATCAAGCTTACATTGTTTTCCAGGTCCTTAATTCTAAAGATTTGTTCACATAAAGAAAAAACAATTTCCATATGTATATATCTAAGAGCCCACTGTTTTATTTTAAATGTAAAGACATTTATTTTAAATGTAAAGAAATGTAGTGGAAGTTCTCATCTGTTTTCTGAAGGAGAGGTCACATTTCTTCTGATGGAATCAAACCAACTTTGCAAAACTAAGTAATCCCATTCTTTTAAAAAATAAGATAGAAAATAGAAATTGTTGTAACAATAACTCTCATTTATTCATTTCTTAGATGTAGTTGGATACAATGGTGAGCATTTTTCTTGTTTCCTTTCATCAAATTATCCAAACAATATTTTATTTGGGGAAATATTGTTAATGATGGTCACATCAAAGCTGAGGAGATAACCATTCGAGGGAGTCTGGCATTTACCTGATTTACATAGCTGCCCCTTGCCCTGCCAGGATGCAAATCCAGGAACAGCTCTCTCCATGCCTAAGCTGACAACCTCCACATAAACTATTCTGCCTACAGAAATGCAGAAAACTGATCAGTCAGCTCTTCATTTCCAATATAAAGTCTCATTCTTATTCTACAATTGCATGCTTATCCTAGCCTTTTTGAACTCTGTCTTGACAAGTACTTATGTGTTTTTTTTTTTTTCTTCAAGAAGAATAATTTATTTACTTATGGGAATGGATGTAAATCAGAGTGCATGGGATCAAACTGACAAACTTACAGTGTGCTATAGTGTCTAGTTTTTGTTGATTTTTTTCCCACTTCCTCTGTGAGACTTCATTTAATCACTCCCCTTAATAGAGACTTTTCCTGTTTTCCTCTGTACAGCTAAGGTGGTAATTTTCATTACCATCATTTAAATGCACAAGACTCTGTTGGCTGGTGTTTACTCTAATTAATGTTGACCTTACTTCTGCAGAAGGTCTCTATAGAATTTCTTCTTTCTGTGATTTTAGCTGTAGTCATCTGTCCTTTTGAGAGTTTATACATAGAAAATAAGCTTACAGTTCTTTTTTTTTTTAAATGTCTGCAAGGGAATAAAATACTATTTTATAAAGTCTAGGGTTATTTTAATCTGACAATAAATATGTACTATGTTTCTCTCAGCTAGGCTGAGAGTAGGAGGTTGAAGGGGAGAATTACCATAAATTTAATAAAAGATCCTAATATTGCTTACAGAAACTTTTAAACTTACTGGAAGAAAGGACACAATTGCATGGTGAAATGGAAATGATCAGTGGTCCAGGGGCCAGGGAACACTCACTCTTGTAACTCTCAGATTCTCTTAGACTGGTCTTCTTACCCATAAAATCCAGGAGGCAATAGGAAGATTTCTAAAGGTTCTTTCTTGTCCAGCCCTAAGATTCTACATTGTCATGAACAACCAAATGACAGGGTGCCAAAGTCAGGCTGGCCTGCAGGATTTTCTACACCATGGACCTTGTGAAAGTCCATGAATCTGTTGTGAAGGGTTGTCATGTTTAGCTCCATCCTTGGCCTCTCCTCGACTCAATGCCAGTTGCACCCCACCACAGCTGTGACAACCAGAAATGTCTACAGATATTACAGGTATTATCAAATGTCCTGGGGCAGGGGTGGGGTGGGAATCACTCCTAATCAATAAACAATCAAGAACTGGGCTATAGGAATTACAAGAACACAAGGACTATATCTGGAGACTGAGCAGAATTTTAGTGTAAGTCGAGCTGAGTCTTAAAGGAAGTACAGGACTGGGACTGTTGGGGAGGTGAGGAGAGTATGAGTGATGGACAGAGGAAGAATTTGCAAGGTGCAGGAACATATGAGGCATGTGCACCAGGGACGGGAAGGTATGTCGTCAATAATCATGGGTCATAGTTGGAAATAGTAGTTGATAGAAGCAGAATGGAGAGTTTTCAAATGCCCTAGAAGTAAATTATAATGTGACTATCACCAAAATAGATTTGGGGGGAGAAGAATTTCTATGGTTCAATTAGATATTTTCCATCGTAATCAGGAAGTCTTGAGTAGAGAAATTCTAATTTGCCAACATGTTCCATAGAAGTCAGAGGAATCTGACATTACCAATGGTGTCTTTAACCTCAGTCCGTTTCTCTGGATCACCACACCAAG